TGATTTAGTAGTAATAATAATTTAACGTATTTCAGTAATTTTTTAGTCTTATGAAAATTTATTATACACTTACTCGTTGAAAAATTACAAACATTTGTTTTATCAATTTGTGCACCCAATTTGTAATCGATATGTAATTCCAATATAGCTCGAAGATACCATGCTTCCTGAATTTGCTTATTTAATTACTTTTCATAGTAGATACTTGTAGAGAACAGAAATGGAAATCAAAATTTGAAATATAATTCATCAGCAAACCAAAAAAAAGAAAGAGATCGATACGATATAACAGGACACTCTGCTTCTTTGCTCATATTTCTATTTTTTTTCTTGTAACTTTTAAATTAAAAATTAAGAATTAAAAAGTACCAAAACTCAAAATTTTTAAGTAACTAAACACACATCATTTTCAAAAAGCATACATTATCATTAATGCATGGACATTTGCATAAATACTTAGCTTGTCCAAATTGTACATTCTTAAATGGACACAAAATTAACCATTCCTTGCGTTTCCGTTCCACACAACTACAAATAATGGCATAATTAAACAATTCCTGAAGTAATATCATACATATATTGTCCTTCATGCAGAAGAAAATTAATTACAGTAAGAAATAATTTATTTGCACACACAAAATTATCATTTCTTTCAAATAAAGAGAAAAAAGGATGTACAATTTTTGATGAACCAAAAAATAACAAAGAGAGTACGATATATTTTTCAGTAAGTGATATTACTTTTACTCATTTCAATTTATCTGTAATTAATTACTTCACTTAATTACCACCGCATTCTTCGCTCTTTTCGTTTGTTTTTCACACAGATAAATTTCAAACACTCTTCCATTTTTTTATTCTTCTTTTCCTCGAGTATAGAAAGTTGGGAAAATTTTTTTCAATTTCTTTTTCCTTTTACCTTCTAATAATGCATAATTTGCATAATGCATCTTTATTGACACAGCAACATTGATTGCATCGATTTGATGAAATAGTCAAATTACCAAATATACCAATTGATTGTGAACAATTATTATCACTGTAGTTTGGCAAATTTTTGGCTGCTTTCATAGTAAGTTCAATAATTTCTTTTTCCTAAAAAGGAAGAAAATTTCATTCTTGCTGAAATTTTCCGTTAGTCATTTTTTAGCCATTTAATGTTAAATAATTATGCAAATTTTTAGCTTCAAAATGAATTGTAAAGCTGTCATTGCGTCATTTCCTATTATTAGTTCAAATTAACGGGATCGATCAAATAATCAATAAAAATATTTTTAAAAAAATCACACAATCTTTCAGTCAACCTAGTTAATATCTCCTAAAAATATTGCATAAATATGAAACTTACAATAGTTTATTACAATTAATTCATTTCTATTAGTTTTTATGATTATTACATTTTTGTTACTTTCAATTTTATAGTTTTTCATATATATCCTTTCCACAACTTTAATTTTTTGTAATCCTTCCACACATTTATATCCTTCCATACATCAACTGTTTGAATAACTGGAACTTGTTAATTAAGGACAGTTAATTACCTTAAGGTGTAGTCGTTGCAACGTTTCATATTTAATTTTGAAATCTTCTGCAACAATTCGAACAAATTCTTGAAGTTGCTGTTCATTTAGTACCGTTAAATCCATGTTGTAATTCAATCATTACAATTTTCAATCATCCTTCTTAATTTTAAAATAAAAACTTGTTTTCAATTTCAATTCGATTCAATTTTCTAGCAAAAAAATAAGAAACACGAATGATCAATCAATTTACTATAGAGCTATGTGCCAGGATTCGGTTTTACTCATCAGTTGATAAAATAAGCATTTAAAGGAAAGTGGAAAAGTTTTTGCGCATTCGTGAAAAGCTGAATATAATTGTTACAGTCTTTCAAATTTCTTACTCAAATTTAAATTCAATTCAAATCAATAATAAAAGAATAACGGACAAAGATTAACATTTTGCAAATTTTTTGTCCGAAAATTTTAATGTGATCGTGAGAGAGAAAAAAAAATATTAAGCTGTAAAAATGAAAAAAAAAGAAGAAAAATGCATAAAAATCTTTGTTGATAGCAAATATTGAAATGAAGAAATAACAAATCATTTTTATACAATCGATACTTTTTTAAAATTAGTTTATTTTTTTCATCCTTCTTTTTTCTCCCCTTCCTCTTCTTCTCCTTCTTGTTCCCTTTCTCTCCTCATCTCTCTCTTCTTTGCTTTCCCCATCCTTTTTCTAAGCCATTTAAAAACAGTACATATGCAGCTGTAAAAGTACTAGAGGAGAAACTTTTCCATAGCTTGTTTATTATCATAGCCAGATATGGCCATTATTACCATAGCCTATAATTTTGGTATTAGCAAAGTAAGAGCGACGCTGAATGTCCAAGTTGTCAAATATAACAAAATTAAAAAAAAGATAAAAAAGATAAAAATTAAAAAGATAAAATTTATGAAAATTTAAATATTTGCAAAAAAATTTGCATGAAAATTAATGGTTGTAAAATTGTTCTAATAGTAGCCATATTAAGTGGACTAATTATAATTATTAAATAATGCTAATTTAATAATTGTGATAAATTAGCTGTAATAATTAAAAGTAAATGATAAAATAACCCATAAATAAACAAATCTCAAAGATTAATAAATTTTGCGGAAGAAATATATTGTCAACAACTGCGAAAAACAAAAAATAATTATCAAAAACAGAAAAATAACCAAAACATAACGTTGCCGAAACTTAATTTTTGCTATTTCTATTCAGTTCACATCTTTTTTAATCATTTAAAGCTATCCATTTGTTGTATATTAATTATCATTTCTAATATCAAGTTCAGAATTTCTTTTTCAATTTTTGTATTGAGTGATTTTTTCACAAAAGAAAAATTTGCTAATTCATAAATGAAATTTTCTTGTAACGTCTTAAAATCTATTCTCGTTGATTAGAAAAACGATAATTAAAAGAAAATGTGATGGAAGATGGAAAATAATGAAAGCATTTTTTTCCCGTGATATTAATTAGTTTTGTTCTATTTTTTGAAAAAAACAAAATTTGAGCAGGAATTTTTTGAATGGCATTAATTGGTATCATTTGGGAAAAAATAAGTTTAAATGGAACTATTTTTCCATAAAGATAGATATTTGCAAGTTAAGCTTGCGATAAAAATGATAGCAATTAGAACAGATTAAGAGCGTCCAAACTTATGAAACCAAAAAACATATTTGTGAGCTAAAATGTTTCGGAAAATTTAAACTTGCAAATGTAATAAAAATTTAATTTATTTCATTTAAAAAATGCTTCAATAATTGTCGTTAAGAAGAAATGTTTTAGGTATTACTTTCCGTCATTTATTTATTCCTTCCTATTGCTAAATTAGTACCAATTAATGTTGGAAATGATTTTTAAAACTATAATATTGATAATATCAAAAATATATTGATTGACTTAGAAAATGCGAAGAAAAACTTGAATCGAGGAATGAAAAATTTGTAATATTATTATGCAAATTTATCGGTGAGAAAATCAATATTTATTTATTTTGAGTTAGTATAATAAATCATTACATGTTTCTATCGAATGTGGTACGGCGGGTCGCAGGATGCACTACCGCGAATGCGGCAACAATTAGCATTGGATGCTGTATGGGTTGTACCGGGGGAAATTCGCAAGCATTACCTACAGGTTTGCTATTGTGTCAATTAGCCTTGATTAATTAGCAGTAAATTGTGTCGAAATATAAAAATAGGCTTTGAAAAAGGAAATATGAATAATGTTTGAAAATTTCTTTGAAGTAATTTTTCAAATCATATATTTAGGATTATTGAAAAATAAATTAAAATTTTGGCAGGAATATTGGAAATATATTAGAATTTTAGAGTTTCACTCATAGCTAAAAGCAATTATTTCCTTTCTTCTTCATCTTCTTAACTTTTAATATCAACATCACTAATCATTGACGAATATATTGAATTTCTTGTAAGTGTAAGATGTTTATAATTCTACCGCGGGAGAACAGTTTTATACTTATACTGAACTAATTAATTGAAGAATTTTAATGAATTGTTAATAAAAAATTACTAAAATAGTTTAAACATGAAAAGGGAAGTTATACATGGAAATATCGTAATGAGCCATTTAAAATTTAATGATTTTAACTCTTTCTCAAAATCATAAATGATGAATATATATAAAAACTTATACATATATGTGTTTTTCATTTAAGGATGAATTACATTGTGACAGGTTAGAGGCCAGCGTATATTTAAATTGGTCCGCAGGTGCCGGTTTAAAAAATCAAGTAAAAATTGTGCTTGAAAATGGATATGCATGCAGCGCGCCTGCTAGTTTGCTTGCTGCATTCTCTGAAATTTTTCGTAAACTTATTTTAATAAAGGTATGGTAAAATGAAAATATATTTGAATTGGCTTGATATTTGTTAAAGAAAATTTTTTTTTTGAGGATATCTCATAAACATTTTTCTTTCGAGACATCCTATAAGCGTCTTTTTTTGAGACCCCGTAAATATCTTTCTTCTAGAAATTCTATACGTGTTCTACATATGATAAACAAGCAGATTTCATTTGCATTACTAAATAGAAGCGGACTAATGAAATTTAGACAAGAATATGCTAAAATCAAAGTGGGAACTGAGCAAGTCTAGATGAACACTGCTAGAGCTAACGAACATCTAGACTAGATCATGATTTCTTATAGAAGTTCGAGATTCTATAGATTTATGCTATGACATTCCGACAACTTGAAAAGCAATACCGGAAATATTCTGGTGATTATGAAAGCAATCATATTTAGATATCGCAGGAACAGTTCTCTTCTGGTAAAGAAATTATAGTTCACCTAAACGGTATGCCGAATCTTACAAATGCCGGTCTCTACAATGTGGTAGCTTTCATTCAGAATGGGCAAATAAAATTTTTGGAAACTGAATTGGAGAATATTTTAGTAGCAGCCAATGATCTCCGAGTAAGTACATCAATTTGGACAAGCAGTAGGGAATACCGGAATTCAAATACTTTAAATGAAATTGAAAAACAATCTGAATCGGATGACAAAGGTGGAGTCGGTCGAAGCCAGGAGAATAGATAATATTAGAAAAGTGGAAATTAGCGAAGTAATGAGATGAAACTGGTAGGATGAACAATAAATAGCGCATTCCAGAATACAAATAAAATGAATAGATGAATTCCGGATTTCAAACATGAGGAAAATTCAAGTGATTGACAAACAGATATATGGTTGATCTGGAAATATCTCTTCCAAATATTAAGTGAGACTGTCTACATGTCAGTTATGATCATTAGATATAATTACGCTTTACGAATGAATCCCCATGCTATTTAAAGGTATCAAAAAACTTTGACGGAAAAGCTGTTTTCAGGTAGCTGCATTGGTATCATTAATTTGTGAAGAAATGACTGTACGCATATTAGAAAATACTTCATCTGCAGTTTCGATGCTATATACAGCTGTTGCTTGCTTACCTCCGTTCGTTTAAATAACTTTTCCGTCTTAATCCATTTAATAAAATCTGAAACGGAAAAAGCATATCATTATGTTTGCAATATCATAATTCGTTCATTTTTATTTTTCATTTAGGCAGTCACAGTATCGCAGCATGGTTGTTGATGGCGCGGCGATGAAATTTCGTGATATTATGATAAGCCCAGAACTTTTGAAAGTAAGAAAAAAAAAACTTTCTCTCTGTCTTTTTTATTGTAATTCTAGGTAATTGGCTATGAGAAATAGTTTTACATTTATATTTAGTCAATGACAGCTAAATGATTTGAATGATAGGAAATTTTGGAATGGCAATTTCTTTTTTGTTAATTCGGAAAAAAATTTCTAAATTTAAATTCTTTTGAAAGAAAATTTAATTTCAATCTTTTTCCTTTTTTTAGCTATCATTCGAAATGCTTTATTCTCTCATTTCTTCGCCAGTATTGCAAGGATCTGAATGGGTGATGCAAATTTACGAAACAATCTTATTCTGGCTCCGAAATAATCCTGAACAGATTTGTCTTGCGCCACCCCTCTTGGACAGTGTCAATTTCAAGATTATTATTAATGCGCATGATAATGTTTGTCATTTACTTCTTCCTATTTGTTTCGCATAATTTTTAAAACTTCAAATTTTATTAATTATTAAAAAGCTGAGGGAGGAAGTATTAAAAAAAATCAAAGGGGCGTAGAACAACTAAAGTTTTGTTTTTTTTGTTTTTAAAACTTCAAATTTTATAAACTGTTAAAAAGATGACAGGTGGATAATTAAAGATCAAAAAAAGGCAGCATTAGCACAAAATAAGTACTATATAACAGATGTAATTGAATTTCAAAGAAGTTCTTGTAAATTGAAAGAAAGTTATATATTTTTTCTTTTTCTAGCGACTTGAAATAATAAAGAAGTCATGGGAAGTGCCAAACTTAGGACCAATTGTGCAACTCTTTTTAATGGATGCAGCTTATGCCCAATTTTTGGTTTGCTTTCCTTTCTTTTCTTTCCTTTCTTCCTTTCTCTTTTCCTTTCTTTTTTTTGAGTTTTTGAAATTTGTTAATTCCTACCATACAATTCATATATTTGCGTAAATAAAAGAAAGAATTGAATTTATAACAAAAAGTAAGTAACTAATGGCTGAAACTAATAATGAATATTTAGAAGGAATAGTTACTGAAATTTGATTATAGGACGGTTTAATGTTACCAGTAAATCGCGACCAGTCGTTATCATCGTCCATTTATACGATATCGGGTGCAGAAACTGCGACTGTACCAACTCCAATGAGAGGGCCATTAGGATTAGCGCCATCACCTCTTGGGTCATACATCATTGCACCTTTTGATTCCACGTCACATATAACAACCAGAAGTATTAGTAATGAAACATCCGTATCATTGGAAAAAAATTGGTGTCCAACCCAACAGCTTCCAATAGGATGCGGTAGTTCTCACAATCCGACCGGTTATCAGAGCAGCCTTGCGAATACCGCAACCCAAACAGCACAGGCAAAGATTGCAAGTAATGTTGGTGACAGTGGACAAAGACTTTGGTCTGAAGTTTTAGCTGATAGACCAAAGCATACTTCAAAAAGTGGAAATCTAACAGGTGAAATGGTTTCATTCCAAAGTACCACTGCACTTTCAACATTACCATCGAAAAGCTCTCACGATTCGATTCCTACGGTAATTACAGCACGTAGTGGCCCGGCTTTTACCTATTCAAGTGCTGCTACTGGTGGTAAGCAGGAAACGTCAACCGCTATCACAAGCTCTCCAACACTCGAATCAGTTGGAATTCGAACAAGCAGTAGTCAAGAATCAGCGTCAAGTTCGAAACGACGACGTAAATTTGAGCAAATCCCATTACGAACCGAACCACCAAAAAGTCGCAAAGAATTGCGCAAGGAACGACAGGCACGTGAAAGAGCTGGGAAGAAATGAATTGAAAATGATCGCTTTTTTATTTGAATTTTAAATTTAACCCAAACACGTCACATTTTTTATTTCCTAATATGTTTACTGTAATCATAAGGTGAAAAAAATTTTTTTAATGACACCGTAAACACGTTAAATTATAGGGTGAATCAAAATCAGGCTTGACAATTAAGGTAGACTTCTGAATCCAGAGGATGTTTGACAGAAGTACTATCGGATATGTCTATATGTTTAGTAGAGAAAATAAAATATTACCTCCTCTTAAGAAGGATTTACATATGCGATTTACATATGGCAGATTTCACGTTACTTGAACTGCTGATCTTTAGCTTAGCGACTGACTTCTAGCATTCAAACTAAAAAATAATTAATATAATATTTCTGATTCAATTTCAACATCAGAAAAAATATTATTAAAATCAAAGTAATTCAGTACTGCTGCCTTATGATTGAAAAATTCCAAATTTCCGAAAAATTCCGTTTCAATTTTTCGTTGAAAATTGAAAATCTAAGCTACTAAAAGGGCTATCAATCTGATCATTTTAATGAATATTTCCTTTCAAATTTTGTCGTGAAATAATAAAGACTGCCAGATAATTTATTTGCCGAGCTCAGTGATTGGGTAATCAAACTCCAATCAAATCTATCTAAATGAAGCATTTAGTGCGAAAGTGTTTGTCCGGAGGTCGATTTGTCTTGTGAATACGCAACAGTAAGGGATATTAACCTTTATCGTGAGAAGAGATTGATAAAAATCCGCCAATGTCCGTAGAAGCGAAGAATAAAA